GTACTAAAATGGCCTCCACAGTCACCAGATCTCAACCCAATAGAGCATCTTTGGGATGTGGTGGAACGGGAGATTCGCATCATGGATGTGCAGCCGACAAATCTGCGGCAACTGTGTGATGCCATCATGTCAATATGGACCAAACTCCCTGAGGAATGCTTCCAGCACCTTGTTGAATCTATGCCACGAAGAATTGAGGCAGTTCTGAAGGCAAAAGGGGGTCCAACCCGTTACTAGCATGGGGTACCTAATAAAGTGGCCGGTGAGTGTATATATATAAGCAATATTAAAAATGGTGTATGTGGCATTTAAAAAAGTGGAACCTATTTAGACCTTGCATGACGGGATGTGTGTAAAGGTCATTCATTTATTTTATTTTTTTATAAATATATTGCCTATTTTGACATTTATATTTCGGTCAAATTAATCAATTAACTTAATAATAAAAACTTACATAAAGGCATGTATTTTATGTGCAAGAAAAGTAATATGTTTTACTTGATGGTTACACCACTTAGGCTAAAAGTGTTATCAAACATTAAATAATAAAAATGTAACCAACATGAATACGGTCATGTCCAAATGGAGATTTTTTTTTTTTAAATATCCTTTTTTTATCATCTCAGACATCCTTACTTGTCGTTGACCCACAAAAACAACACTTATTTGTCATATTTCTTGTGTGGTATAATTCCTGGTCCGAGTTCTGATATGCTTGTTTAAAACGTTTGTAGCAAGGCTCTGTTATTAATGATTGAGCTTGTTTAATATTGTGCAGTAGTTGGAGTGCAAAGTGTTTCTCCTTGACAACAAAAATAACTTATACTTTGTGTGTGCATGCATGGGGAAAAATCAGCAGCTGTGAAATGGTCAACAGAGGAGTGTTCACTCAGTGTTTGCGTGCATGTGTGTAAAAAAAAATGGTCAGGGCTAACATCTACACTCACCGGCCACTTTATTAGGTACCCCATGCTAGTAACGGGTTGGACCCCCTTTTGCCTTCAGAACTGCCTCAATTCTTCGTGGCATAGATTCAACAAGGTGCTGGAAGCATTCCTCAGGGACTTTGGTCCATATTGACATGATGGCATCACACAGTTGCCGCAGATTTGTCGGCTGCATATCCATGATGCGAATCTCCCGTTCCACCACATCCCAAAGATGCTCTATTGGGTTGAGATCTGGTGACTGTGGAGGCCATTTTAGTACAGTGAACTCATTGTCATGTTCAAGAAACCAATTTGAAATGATTAGAGCTTTGTGACATGGTGGAAGTAGCCATCAGAGGATGGGTACATGGTGGCCATAAAGGGATGGACATGGTCAGAAACAATGCTCAGGTAGGCCGTGGCATTTAAACGATGCCCAATTGGCACTAAGGGGCCTAAAGTGTGCCAGGAAAACATCCCCCACACCATTACACCACCACCACCAGCCTGCACAGTGGTAACAAGGCATGATGGTTCCATGTTCTCATTCTGTTTACGCCAAATTCTGACTCTAACATCTGAATGTCTCAACAGAAATCGAGACTCATCAGACCAGGCAACATTTTTCCAGTCTTCAACTGTTCAATTTTGGTGAGCTCTTGCAAATTGTAGCCTCTTTTTCCTATTTGTAGTGGAGATGAGTGGTACCCGGTGGAGTCTTCTGCTGTTGTAGCCCATCCGCCTCAAGGTTGTGCGTGTTGTGGCTTCACAAATGCTTTGCTGCATACCTCGGTTGTAACGAGTGGTTATTTCAGTCACTGTTGCCCTTCTATCAGCTCGAACCAGTCTGGCCATTCTCCTCTGACCTCTGGCATCAACAAGGCATTTCCGCCCACAGAACTGCCGCTCACTGGATGTTTTTTCTTTTTCGGACCATTCTCTGTAAACCCTAGAGATGGTTGTGCGTGAAAATCCCAGTAGATTAGCAGTTTCTGAAATACTCAGACCAGCCCTTCTGGCACCAACAATCATGCCACGTTCAAAGTCACTCAAATCAACTTTCTTCCCCATACTGATGCTCGGTTTGAACTGCAGGAGATTGTCTTGACCATGTCTACATGCCTAAATGCACTGAGTTGCCGCCATGTGATTGGCTGCTTAGAAATTAAGTGTTAACGAGCAGTTGGACAGGTGTACCTAATAAAGTGGCCGGTGAGTGTATATTTCATGGTCAATCACACACAAACACAATTTTATTTTGATGACATTTTTATTGTAAATGAACATTGTAAACTCATATTCATCACCTTTCGTTCAGTTATTTTCAAGCATTTAACAAGTGACAAAGTTGCAATTTACGTGACGTGTGCAATGAGTCATTTTGCACAGTAGCCTACTTGCCATATATCTTCAAGTTATGCTTGTTTTCTCACACGTAATCCATTGCTGGGGTCACAGATCTTGCATGAGTGTATGCCGTGTAGGGCCTTCTGTCATTGGACGGGCAGTTCCAACAAAGAAGCCCACCACCCAGCAACAAGAGGCCTCCAGATCCCCAGCCTATGTAGAGACCGGCTCCAAGCTCCCGCCGCTGGCCTGCTGTTACTAAAGGGTTGTAGAAGTCCCTGATAAGAGTGTGTGCAGACCAGCACACAGGTATCAGGAGGAGAAAGCCAGCGATAATTAAAACCACCCCTGAAACGATGCACGCTCTGGCTTTGGCTGTTTCGTCCTCCAAGCAGTTGGTGCACTTTCCTCCAACCACAGCCATCAGGAATCCAAAGACGCCCACCATGATGGAGATGATAACCATGACTCTGGAAGCCTGCAGGTCTTGTGATAGAGCCAACATGGAGTCGTAGACCTTACACTGCATCTGTCCGGTGCTCTGCACGACACAGCTCATCCACAAACCCTCCCAGATGATTTGTGCCGTGACGATGTTCGCTCCAACAAAGGCTGTGACCCTCCACATTGGCATGCCACAGGTGATGATGGTCCCCAACCAGCCTATCATGGCAAGCATGATGCCCAGGATCTGGATGCCTTGAGATGCCATTGTTGCCGGACACAGGTCACTGGTCATGGATGGTTGCGCAAAGCGTCTGAGAAGTTTTATTTGTCAGGGTTTTAGCAGCAAACTTTGGGCGGAGTTCTTGCATAAAAAGAAAACCGGACATTTGATATTCTTTGACTATTGTGTGAGTTGTATGAAGAGCTAGACAACTTGAGAAACCCCTTGACAGTCCAGATGAATTAAACAAAGCACTAAAAAAGTATACTGGTGAAATAGCTTCACATTATTATGGGTTTTGTGTGGTAAATAAGATTTTATTCTTATTTTGTTTTTTTGTTGTTTGTATCAGGGTTGGGCAAAATTAAAAAGAGATGTGTATGTTGAAAATTAAAAGATTTATCTTGAACTTTAATAATCAAGTAAAAAGGAATTTATAGGAATTTAATTTATGATAAGCCACATTGGACCAGTGGTTTGAAAAAATTAATGGATGAATGTGTAGTGGCAATTTTAATGATATTCATTGATCTTTAGTAAAATATAGATGATTCAAAGAATGTCACATGTGTGTCTCTCACTTGTACTGAGAGAAGATTCTGTTTATGTACCTGGGGAGGCAGAAGAGGGAGACACTCCAGAGAACAGACGAACAAGGACCTCTGACCTAGATGTCAGAAGGCCATTTTGGTCCAGGGGAGCTTAGTGGGCCAACTAGTGACGTCTATGGAAAACTACTGGGAGGAAGGCTCTGGGGGGAAGAAGGCCTTGAAACTAAGATAAAAGCTAGTTCAGTCTGTCTGGGGGTGTGTCACTCTTCTGCACAGGGTAACAACTGTGTATTAGACTGCTCCTATTCTTGCAAGAATAAATACTTCTATTTTATATAATTTGACTCTGAGTGTCTCTTACGCAGTGATGTTTGTTTGAGATGAATTTTTGCCACAACAAATGATTCAGTGGCATTATTCGTTCGACGTGCGACTCTCACAGTGCATCATGGGTATTCTCTAGCCGTTGAGCGTACATCGGTTGTAGACTCGTTATTGCGGTGCATTGTGGGATTGAAGGAGTACACTCAATAACGTCCACTATGGTTTCGGACACCACTACAAATGGCTTTCCCCTCAAATAATGCCCTATTTAATACCCTCTTGGGTGCCATTAATCACTAATTAAGTTAATCCGTTGTTCATTTAGTTCCCTCGTTTGCCTCTTGTGTATTTATAGCCCTCAGTTTGTTCAATTATTTGTAGATAGATAGATAGATAGATAGATAGATAGATAGATAGATAGATAGATAGATAGATAGATAGATAGATAGATAGATAGATAGATAGATAGATAGATAGATAGATAGATAGATAGATAGATAGATAGATAGTGTTTGCTCCCACAAATTCTAAATGCACACCCCAGGTTGATATAGACTTTCACAATTAAATTTGTTTTGTTGAAAAACAAAAAACAAATTGGTTATAATTACTATGCTCTGAGTAAACACAAGCCAAACCTTAGATCCTGTTCAGTCTTGTCGAATTCGTGGACCTGAAAAACCACACCTGTTCTGGTTTTTTTTCTTTTTCTTTTGTCAACTCCCTTTGAGAATGTTTTGTACACTGGGACTCTTTTGAAATCTAAGTTCCACAGGGTAGGTGACACATAATGGAGGGCTGTAATATGACACCTATGTCAACACCCATGCAAATGCATTTAATACAGCTGACAAATAGTCCAAAAGACTAGTGTGATACAAACATTTTTTATTTTTTTCATTTGGCCAGACGTTTATATCAGGAAAAAAAAAATGCTTTTTGCAGTACAAAACAGTAATATTTACAAAATCATAAATGTTGAAAAATACTTGCAAAAATGAAAATACATTTAAAAAAAAAAAGAAAAAAAAAAGAACACATGACACATGACCACAGTAACAGTTAGAGAGGAAAATTTGATCATACTTGAGACATATTTTCAGATTAGCCTCCTTTAACTGCAGATTTTTTTTTTAAAGATGTGGTTCCTCATTGTCCTCGTTGTCTTTGTGTTGAATATATAAAAATTTAGAAAACTTGTAGCATCAGCGTTTCATTGACTGCTTTTCAAGTCCTCATGATACCTGCTGCAAACTCTTTTTGAGCCGCTACATCCTGGACAAACCAAGATTGTAAACATTATAGGCACTGTAGAGTCCATTTTAGAGTAGATCATTTACACAAAGTTTTTGCCAGAGGGTGCAGAGGCTTCAGAGCGAGGGGTAGCATTATATTTGGCGGTGTATTTTCCTGTTTCCTCTTTTGGTGGGCAGTTGCAGCAGAGCAAAGCTCCCCCGATGATCAACAGGGCGGCGGCCCCCCAGCCGATGTAAAGCGCTGCTCCCAGCTCTCTCTTTTGTGCTTCGTAAATCAAGGGGTTGTAGAAGTCCCGGATGATGACGTGGGTCGTCCAGCACACCGGGACCAGACACAGCACCCCAGCAATGATGAAAATCACACCGGCAGTGATACCGACCTTGGTTTTGGAGCTCTCGTCCTCAATGCAATTGGTGCATTTGCCACCAGCCATCGCCAGCATGATGCCCAGGATCCCAATCACGACTGCAATGATGGTGAGAGCGCGGGCGGCCTGAAGGTCTGAGCTGAGGGCCAGCATGGAGTCGTAGACTTTACACTGCATCTGTCCGGTGCTTTGCACGACGCAGCTCATCCAGATTCCCTCCCATGATATCTGTGCCGTGACGATGTTATTCCCAATGAAAGCTGTAACTTTCCACATGGGAAGAGCGCAGACCAAAATGACACCGACCCATCCTATGATGGCCAGGGCGATGCCCAGTAACTGAAGCCCAGCAGACACCATGACCTTTGTCTCTCTTTTTTTTGTTTTGAGGAGGCTCTCTTCGCACTGCTTACAGGTGTATGCCTCAGAGGGTGTGTGCTGATGCTTTAAAGAGCCTGTGTTGGAGGCGGGACTTTAACGAATTACCTGCTCTGCTGGTTTTGTGGTTACTGCATGGGATCCAACTGAACCTAGACTTGAATGAGTCATTCCCTTGACATTTTTTTCATTGCGGACACAGCACCTTATATGGTTTACTCTTTTGTTTACACTTCAAAATTTAAAAATATATAGCCTATGTAATAAAATCTATGGAGGGGTCTGTGAAATATATCAAGAACATGTGTACTGCACACGTAAGAAAAAAAATGCCTTTTTGGATAGAATTAAGGGACCAAAAGACAGGAAGTGCACCTGACAGGAAGTGATAAGATTATCATTTTTCCAGAAACACACACACACACATAAACAATATACTGGAAAATGTTATGTGATGATAATAAAAATGCTGGCAGTCGAAACTCGTCACTAAATAAACTAATATAAATAAATGTAAATTAATATAAACTAATATAAAACGTATTAATAAATTAAATTTCAAAATTACATCAATGATTATATTATTATTTATTATTTTAATTATAAAAATATTATATTTATTACATATTTATTTCATTTATCTCTTTTTTAAATTAAAATATTGAATTACATAAAATAGAAATATATTTAGATAGTGAATACAATAAATTATTTTTATTATGTTTTTATTGTATTTTTATTCTTAAACATATACTGAGTGGGTGTATGTAGGCATATATATATATATATATATATATATATATATAATATTTTACAATTAAGATAAATATACTGAATTAAAATTGGTGTAGGATTTAGCCTATACTTTTCAACTATTTTCACTGATTACAAAGAAACGGCAAGCAACACATTGGATTAAACATGACATTTTGAAGAAATACTAAATAGCCTATTTTCTTGTAAAACATAGTTAAACAATCTTTGTATTATTTACAACTTCAACAAATATTATTTGTGTGGGTTTTTGTTCTAGGAAAACACAGTAAGGACCTTGATAATATTTCTCTGTTTAAGTTAGTTTGCTCTCCCTAGGTCAACAAATATCAAGAAAGTGGCGGCTGGTTTCATATGACACAATAGAGCAGACGTGGAGATTTTAGGAATTTTTTCCGTAGCTTGTGGATCACTGACCATTATCTCATCGCACTCCGTTCAGGTCAAAGATATCTCAAGTAAAACTTTTTGCTTCTGGATATGACACATGACATGTAACAAATATGCTATATTTACAAAGTTTCTTACTCAGCACGCAATTCCCATGGCAAGTATTTCTCAAGAGTTCGCTGACGCTGTAGGGGAGGAGCCGCCCAAATGCACCTGTAGGCTACCCACCTGGAACTGGCCAAACTGGTTTCTGCCGGAGAACAGGTGAATGTTGACAATTTGCTTGGGCAAGACTGAACAGCTCAGATCGTTGCAGCAACAAGTCGGTTTAACTGACAATAACAGAGGAATAATAAAAGATCAAATTTATATAGGCTATTTATAGGCTAGCTACACTTGAAGATTATAAACGCGGCTCTATAGCAAGAATCACAGATGGCGTTGCACTGTGAACAACAAATATTTGAAAGGAACAAAAACATATCTTAACGGAAAATTGACAGTAGCCTAACGTTAATGTGATGTCAGGCAAAGGGTGTGTGTGTGTGTGTGTTTGTGTTTGTTTTCCTTGAGTGTTTAAATCTTCCCCTGTTTCAAATATCACATTCAGAAAAAATAACTTCGTTGGGACTGTTTCACATGGGATTGGTTCTGAGAAAGCTATAAGCCTTGAACTCTTTTATAGACTCACTCACCATAGAATGCTCAACCATTTCAACTGATGTGTGTTAATTATATTTGCAACATAAATATAAGCAACATAAAACGATGTAGGCCTACATTACATTTAAAAACACTTGTGATAGACTAGGCTACTCAAAAGTTAGTAATTCAGAAAGTAAACTTAGCCTATACAGTTTAATAATTGTAGGCCTAGGCCTACTTATAAGTCAACTGAATATTTCATTGTCACAATGAATGCCTAATGTGCTACATGTGTTTGGCAGATGTTTTGTATGGTAAATGTATGCCGACTAGTGGCTACATATTGCATTGGAAAGAAGTTTCAGACGAGTAGCTACAGTGAAGTGACGCAGCCTATCTGACGGACCTTTTCCGCGGTTTATTGATTTATTAGGCTAGTCATTTTCTATTACACAAATCGAATCTCGCAATGAGGGTCGGGTTTTTACCTGTCCTTGTTTAACAACCAGGAACTGGAAGGGGAAAACTTACAATAAAACAAATAACGTGATGTCTGAGGCAACTCGTGTTCAGAAAGTTTTTCTGTTAGTCTCTGTAACGTTTTACTTTGGTTTATATTTTAATAATAGGTTTTTCTTGAATGTTTCTTAAATGTTAGTAATTAAAAAGCAACATTGTGAAATGTTGAAAATGTTTTGTAGTACTTGCTGGTTCGTGGATGTAGAGAAGCAATTCAACCTGTAACCAAAAAGAAAAAAAAAGAAATAATAGCCTACTCAGGAAATAATTAGGATACAAAAATGTCAAAAGTGGTGGCCAATGGAGTGCCACAGGAAGCACTGGCCACTCCCCCTCTGTCCATTTAAGAGAACAACATCTTCCCACTGAAACTCGTTAATCATGACCACTGCCGTGCCTCACAGAAACTCATTTAAATATAGCCTAATCAGTGTTCTCTGAGAGGAAGTATACGCCAACACACTGCCGATGATGTCATACTCGCCTATCAAACACAGACCGGTTTCGGTCTGTCTTGTAAAAACTTGGCAATAACTATTTCTTCTTCTCTTTTATTTTTTACTTCACATAAAATGTTATATGGGTTTGGGATTTTGTGCTACAACACTTTTCAATATCTTTCTTTAGCTTCAGGCTCTCTGGGTTTTATCTTTGAGAACCGTATTGCCATTTTATTGAATGTCCAGTAAAATGTTTATCAAGTTACTTGTGTCAAATAGATTATTTATCAACTTGGTGGATTAATCAAACGCTTACTGGCTCAGATGCCAGTGATGTATTTACACTCAAAATCTCCCACGCACATTCACTGCAATGCAAGTGTTGTCCCTGTAAACAGTGTAACTGCTTTACTGATGTATTAAACAGGCGACCCCTTCTCTCTTATGTTGCTGTCTTATCAGGAATGCATAATTAGTTAATGTTGTTTAGTAAATACACAAATCCTTTATCAGAGATAAAAAAAACGAGTATAAACTAATACAACATAAAACTAATAGCTATGTACTGTAGAGTAAATAAAGTTCTGATTATTAATTTGATGTGGAAAAAATGACACAATGATAATTAGCAGCACAAGTGTCACTCACAAGAGTATTCTCATATCCAACATTGTCACATACTCCTGCTTTCATAAGTGTGTGTACACATCTGAAGAATCGTGTCTTTTTCTCCCAAGTAAACAAAGCTTGAACTGTAGGCTACTACAGATACTGACATAATATAATGGGTTACCACAATATCACTTTACTGGTCTCTCTCAGCAGTTTTGCATTTTTTAAACTGAAACTTGCGCTTTAATTTCTCCTAAAAACAGCATTGTCTAACTTACTTAATTACGCATATGAATGTAGCCTATCATTTTCTTATAATTTCACTTACTTTTTTTGGGGGGGTTATGTCACTTAAATGTAATACTTTACTTTCAACCAGGAAATGGAGATCTGAAATTCTCTAAATACATACATGTTTTATGGCTAGACTTTATGGCCTGTAATCGCAGGTGACCTAGATTGATACCAGGACTTTGAATTCAGTAGTTAGTATGTTTAAGTATACTGCTTACTGCTTAAGAAGTGAGACAGCATAAATCTCTATTTTATTTCATTGAGTAAGTTTATCAACAATAACAGAAATATTAATTTGATTAGATTGAACAGATACTGCTTATTTTAAGTTTCCAGGCATTTTCCATATCCCTTGTAGCTCTTACGCCTTTACATATTAAGAAACATATAAATGGAATTTTGGCTCTTTTAGGACAACAACTGTGAGATGTGTAAACTGTGATATATATCTATATTTTTATAGATAATGTATAGGCTATTTTTGAGTGAACTACTTCTTTAAGACTTCAGTATGCATGCATAATGGCCTAAACTAAGATGTTTACATTGGTGTTGTCAATGATTGTCCATTAAAGAGCAATTTTTACACATCTATGATGGGTTATCTATTAACATCGGTAAACAGTCCCAACCTTTGGTTTAAACAAACTTTTACCGGAGGCTACATTGTCTAAGTGCTACACAGAGAGCAGCTCCCCTTTTTATGAGGGCGCTAACCAATACTAAGATCGCGCCTTATCATCTGATGTCAGAACCCAGGTAACTCAGCCCTTTTTCTCAGAACAAGGGGGAAATTTCTACCAGGACAGAACATTCCAGCCGTCCTTGAAGAGGAGATTCAGTGTGTCAACACCCACCTCCATGCTTGAATGGTCCTTTGGTGATTTTGGAGATTCCTGATGTAATTGTCTCAAGGACTTCTACAGACGAAGTAAAAGCCTCAGTGAACAGAGAGAGCACAAGAGAGATCCAAGCGAATTTGAAAGCAGAAAGTGCGGAGACATGGCAGCTTTTGGTTTGGAGTTAATAGGCGTCACGCTCTCGGTTCTTGGCTGGCTTCTCAGCATTGTGAGCTGTGCTTTGCCCATGTGGAGGGTCACGGCATTCATCGGCACCAATATCGTCACAGCACAGGTGTACTGGGAGGGAATCTGGATGAGCTGTGTGGTTCAGAGTACCGGACAGATGCAGTGTAAAGTCTACGACTCTATGTTGGCTCTTCCTGCAGACCTACAGGCAGCCCGCGCTCTGGTGGTGGTGGCCATCATCGTGGGTGTCCTAGCGCTCTTTGTCGCTATAGTGGGGGCCAAGTGCACCAACTGCATTGAGGATGAAGGGGCCAAAGCTCGTGTGATGATCAGCTCTGGTGCCGCCTTCATAACCGCTGCGGTCATGCAGCTTATTCCCGTGTCCTGGTCAGCAAACACCGTTATTTTGGAGTTCTACAGCCCGGTTGTTCCAGAAGCACAGAAGATGGAAATAGGGGCTTCGCTGTACCTTGGCTGGGCCGCGGCGGCTCTGTTGCTGGTCGGAGGCTCCATTCTGTGCTGCAGTTGCCCACCTAAAGATGAGACAAGGTACCCGCCACAGAGTCGTATAGCGTACTCAGCCCACCACTCAGTGGCTCCAAGCACCTACAACAAGAGAGATTATGTCTGAGGACCTCTGAGGACTTTTGAGTTCTACGGTCAGTCTTTCATAGAAAGATAATTGTGACCATATGGGTTGGAGGTAACTCAAAATCTTGTTTACTTTTTCTCCCATGTGAACATTTCTACATGCCTTTGTTTTGTTCATTGTCCATTGTCACTCCACAATTTGTTAACATATTTTATTTTATTTGTTAGCCTATTTTAGCATATTTTAGCAAAGTTGTATAAATCATCTGGTATGTTTTAAATCAAATTGTCAGTTGTTTCATAAAGGGAAAAAGTCAGTGGTTTTATTTTTGTAGTCTTGTGTGTTTTTATTTACTATTTTTGCTTTATTTTCTTTGACAGTTTTTACACTTTTAACAAAGTTGTTCGGGAATGAATATTTTTTATACTTTCACTTAAAATAATAAAAATGGACTATCTACTAATGACTCAAAACTAAATGGAAAATCTTGTGTTGTACCAATATGTTTATACTTTGCTTAAATTGTAATCAACTCTGTTAATGTTTAGTTGTGTTTAATGTTTATTTCAGTGGCGTTCTCATTCTTATTCATTGAAACTCTTTAGCAATGAACAACAGCCACATCTTTTGTTTCTATATGTGTACGTGTTAAAAAATACAGTAAAGTGGATTTGAGAGACACAAACACGAGACTGGATTCAAGCCCTAAGTTCAAGTTCCACTGGACAACACAACAGAGAAACAATGAGACTATGTGCAGGCACCTCCCAAAGTTTCATCAGATTAAAAATATTGTGCACATTTGTGTGTTTGCGGTTCTGTTTAATCACTGAATAATTAGAATAACTATATATTTGAATAAGTATAACTGAATTATAATTGAATTCCTGATTATTATTAAAAACACAAATATATTAAACCTGTATGTCTTCATTTCAGATATTTTATCATTTGTTGAGTTTGATCATTTATTAAGAGATTTCCACACTGAGCGCTTAACCCTGGGTAAGGGCCCTATCTTTTAAGCAACGTTTTAATTGAAATGTTGAAAGATGGTTAGAATGGTAACAGTGTAAAACAGTGGGGTGCTATAATGTTTCAGTAACCCTTCATAAACGTTATATTTTCTTACACTTTGTACTTGTACGTCACAGAAATGTTCACTTGTCTAAAAAAATAATGACGTGCAGCGATGGAATATACATAAACTGAGGTGAAAAGACTACATTTGTTTAAACCATTGTTGGTTTTGAGCAATTTAAACAGTTACAGTGTATTTATGTGGAGAAATTTTTCAGTCAAGAGGTTTTTAAAACCGTCACGCCCCAGTCACTATACTGTATTTGTCCAGTCAATATAATTGACCTCATAAATACACAAATAAGAATTTTAAAGTCACCATGATATCAAAATGGACAATTCTTATTCTTTTTTATGGAACATTTTTAGTATTTATTATGTATACTGGCACAAGGGATGGACAACCTGTCACTCACCAGTGTTGGGGAAAGTTACTTTAAAAAGTTATGCGTTACAATATTGTGTTACTCCCTAAAAAGTAAGTAATCACGTTACTTAGTTACTTTTAATGGAAAGTAATGTGTTACGTTACTTTTTCTCACCTGGGCTGGGCTTGCTTTGTTTTTTAATACAATTTATTAAAAAAAGTTTTTTTTTTTAGTTCTGTTTTTAAATGTAAACGCCCTTTCACATCAAAAGTGAAATGAATAAGCCTAAAGCTGAAATGAAATGCAAAATCACGCCTGTACAGACGGTGCAGCTCAAACAAACCTTTCAGCTGTGCTGACATTCTGATTGTAGAAGAATCGGATGCAGAAGAAGAACGTTTAAAACTTACTTCAGCATATAAAAACCAAAACATGTAACACACGTGATGTTTATATAAAGTTATTTTTGCTTATTATGGCTGAATTGGATCATCGAAGGTCAGCAGCAAAGACATTGATTAATAAAGTGAGATTAAATACATAAAGTACATTTGTGTAATTTAGCATTTAATTATTGCAGGTTTGCGTAATATTTGAGTTTGCATTTCAATATTTTTTATTTTGAGGAATACTAAATCTGTTTTTGTGCAAGTGAGCCGAGTAAATTGATCACATTTAGTCTAAAACTACAATGTTTACACTATGCACAACGCTTCTGCACTTACTCCCAATTTCTCTCAACATAGGAACAGATAAGGTGTCAGTCTATATATAGGAAAACAAGTAACTTATTGCGTTACTTATTTGGCAAGATATTTTATTGTAAATTTAAAGGTATTGCGTTACTTACTAGTTATTTGAAAAAAGTAATCTGATTACATAACTCATGTTACTTGTAATGCATTACCCACAACACTTGTCACTCACAATGGTCCAACGATCCAATTAATTCCCGATGGGCAAAATCAAGTCCTCCCTACATTTTTTCTTGTCCGAAAAACCATTTGAATGAGGTAACCAAAAATTTTATGTTAACTAAAATATTTTTTTTATTATACAAATCATAGAAAAGCCAATTCTAAGAATTACAGAATGACTTAGCATATAATTTGCAATAAATAAATAATTAAATACATACTTTGCAGTGTTATTGCTATTACCGCTTAGTTGACAAAATCTGGCTAAGGGGGAAAGGGAGGCCTAAACTTTTTATAGTTTATCATTTTTGGAAGACATATTTTCAATGTTTCTGACAAACGTGCAGGCTTTTTAATGCAACTGCCGCTAATCACAGCACTCCTCAGTTGAAATGAAAGATCATTTCCTAATAACATTTGAGAGTTGTTTCCACAGCATGCTAATAGCTTTAAAGACATCTTATAATTCAGACACTAATATAGCCTCTTAGTTACATCACCAAAGCTCATTTCCCCCTGTTTTATGATGCTGGAGACTAAGAAGAGGAGAAAGAATCAACAATAACAAGTTACAATGGATTATTCTCTGTTAAAATCCCAATGACCAATATAAAGTCAGTCAATAAAATTCATTAACCAATGCTATCGTGAATCCTAAGAAAGTTTCAGATCCAATGCGACATCACTAATGGATTCAGTGTGAAATATTATCCCTCTTTTCCACCCCATTGATTATTGACCTGTGCTTCCAGGTTCTTTTTCCTGACTGAGCCTGTTTCTCTTCGCACAAAGTAAGTAGGAATTGGATTTCCAACGAAAGAAAAAACCAACGCATTGTTCATCTCCCCCGCAGTGGCAATAGCAGGCAGGTGACGTGTACAAACCTGTATTACATCCACCTATGTCATCAAGCTAAGATCCTCCTCCAGTGCACCTGTCTCTTTGGGAATATAAAGGCTGCTTGGCTTCAAAGCACCTTCACAGGCTACACAAAGACAGGAAGCATTGGGAGGCTTACATCTATATTGACGTCTCAGCACTTGGTAAATGATCTTCCACCCTTTTTAAAACTTCTAAAGTACTGCTTTTATGTGTGTATGAAATTCATTACTAACCAATTTCTCCTTTTCCTAGGTAAAAAAAAAGTTCACCTAACAGGCATCATGTCGATGGGAATGGAGATCGGGGGCATTGCCCTGGGCATTATCGGCTGGATCATTAGCATTGTCGCTTGCGCTCTCCCTATGTGGCGTGTCTCTGCCTTCGTTGGCGCAAACATCGTCACCGCACAAAACATCTGGGAAGGTTTGTGGATGAATTGTGTTGTACAGAGCACCGGACAGATGCAGTGCAAGATCTATGACTCCATGCTAACACTGTCGCAGGACATGCAGGCGTCCAGAGCCATGTCGATCATCGCCATCATCTTGGCCATTCTGGGCGTGATGATCTCCATCATGGGCGCCAAATGCACCAATTGTATCGAGGATGAAGCAGCCAAGGCTACAGTCATGATCGTCTCCGGCATCCTGTTCATTCTTGCCGGCATCCTGGAGCTCATTCCAGCGGCTTGGGTTGCAAACCTAATCATTCGTGATTTCCACAACCCGTTACTGCCCGCCGATCAGCAAAGAGAGATCGGGGCATCCATCTACATAGGGCTTGCTGCTGCTGTTCTGTTACTGATTGGAGGAGCATTGCTGTGCTGCACCTGTCCTCCACGGGAGAAGAACCCACCGAGAATTGTCCACTCCGCTCCACGCTCTACTAATGGTGGATATGACAGGAAAACTAAATGGAAAATCTTGTGTTGTACCAATATGTTTATACTTTGCTTAAATTGTAATCTACTCTGTTAATGTTTAGTTGTGTTTAATGTTTATTTCAGTGGCGTTCTCATTCTTATTCATTGAAACTCTTTAGCAATGAACAACAGCCACATCTTTTTTTTCTATATGTGTACGTGTTAAAAAATACAGTACAAGTGGATTTGAGAGACACAAACACGAGACTGGATTCAAGCCCTAAGTTCAAGTTCCACTGGACAACACAACAGAGAAACAATGAGACTATGTGCAGGCACCTCCCAAAGTTTCATCAGATTAAATATATTGTGCACATTTGCGTGTTTGCGGTTCTGTTTAATCACTGAATAATTAGAATAACTATATATTTGAATAAGTATAACTGAATTATAATTGAATTCCTGATTATTATTAAAAACACAAATATATTAAACCTGTATGTCTTCATTTCAGATATTTTATCATTTGTTGAGTTTGATAATTTATTAAGAGATTTCCACACTGAGCGCTTAACCCTGGGTAAGGGCCCTATCTTTTAAGCAACGTTTTAATTGAAATGTTGAAAGATGTTTAGAATGGTAACAGTGTAAAACAGTGGGGTGCTATAATGTTTCAGTAACCCTTCATAAACGTTATATTTTCTTACACTTTGTACTTGTACGTCACAGAAATGTTCACTTGTCTAAAAAAATAATGACGTGCAGCGATGGAATATACGTAAACTGAGGTGAAAAGACTACATTTGTTTAAACCATTGTAGGTTTTGAGCAATTTAAACAGTTACAGTGTATTTATGTGGAGAAATTTTTCAGTCAAGAGGTTTTTAAAACCGTCACGCCCCAGTCACTATACTGTGTTTGTCCAGTCAATATTATTGACCTCATAAATACACAAATAAGAATTTTAAAGTCACCATGATATCAAAATGGACAATTCTTATTCTTTTTTATGGAACATTTTTAGTATTTATTATGTATACTGGCACAAGGGATGGACAACCTGTCACTCACCAGTGTTGGGGAAAGTTACTTTAAAAAGTTATGCGTTACAATATTGTGTTACTCCCTAAAAAGTAAGTAATCACGTTACTTAGTTACTTTTAATGGAAAGTAATGTGTTACGTTACTTTTTCTCACCTGGGCTGGGCTTGCTTTGTTTTTTAATACAATTTATTAAAAAAGTTTTTTTTTTAGTTCTGTTTTTAAATGTAAACGCCCTTTCACATCAAAAGTGAAATGAATAAGCCTAAAGCTGAAATGAAATGCAAAATCACGCCTGTACAGACGGTGCAGCTCAAACAAACCTTTACATTCTGCTTGTAGAAGAATCGGATGCAGAAGAAGAACGTTTAAAACTTACTTCAGCATATAAAAACCAAAAAATGTAACACACGTGATGTTTATATAAAGTCATTTTTGCTTATTATGGCTGAATTGGATCATCGAAGGTCAGCAGCAAAGACATTGATTAATAAAGTGAGATTAAATACATATAATTTAACATTTAATCATTGCAGGTTTGCGTAATATTTGAGTTTGCATTTCAATATTTTTATTTTGAGAAATACTAAATCTGTTTTTGTGCAAGTGAGCCGAGTAAATTGCTCACATTTAGTCTAAAACTACAATGTTTACACTATGCACAACGCCTCTGCACTCTCTCTTACCAATTTCTCTCAACATGGGAACAGATAAGGTGTCAGTCTATATATAGGAAAACAAGTAACTTGCGTTACTTATTTGGAAAGATATTTTATTGTAAATTTAAAGGTATTGCGTTACTTACTAGTTATTTACGTTATTAGTTATATACGTAACTCATGTTACTTGTAATGCATTACCCCCAACACTTGTCACTCACAATGGTCCAACGATCCAATTAATTCCCGATGGGCAAAATCAAGTCCTCCCTACATTTTTTTCTTGTCCGAAAAACCATTTGAATGAGGTAACCAAAAATGTTATGTTAACTAAAATATATATTTTTTTATTATACAAATCATTCTAAGAATTACAGAATGACTTAGCATATAATTTGCAATAAATAAATAATTAAATACATAGACTTAGCAGTGTTATTGCTATTACCGCTTAGTTGACATAATTTGGCTAAGGGGGAAAGGGAGGCCTAAACTTTTTATAGTTTATAATTTTTGGAAGACATATTTTCAATGTTTCTGACAAACGTGCAGGCTTTTTAATGCAACTGCCGCTAATCACAGCACTCCTCAGTTGAAATGAAAGATCATTTCCTAATAACATTTGAGAGTTGTTTCCACAGCATGCTAATAGCTTTAAAGACATCTTATAATTCAGACACTAATATATCCGCTTAGTTACATCACCAAAGCTCATTTCCCCCTGTTTTATGATGCTGAAGACTAAGAAGAGGAGAAAGAATCAACAATAACAAGTTACAATGGATTATTCTCTGTTAAAATCCCAATGACCAATATAAAGTCAGTCAATAAAATTCATTAACCAATGCTATCGTGAATCCTAAGAAAGTTTGAGATCCAATGCGACATCACTAATGGATTCAGTGTGAAATATTATCCCTCTTTTCCACCCCATTGATTATTGACCTGTGCTTCCAGGTTCTTTTTCCTGACTGAACCTGTTTCTCTTCGCACAAAGTAAGTAGGAATTGGATTTCCAACGAAAGAAAAAAACAACGCATTGTTCATCTCCCCCGCAGTGGCAATAGCAGGCAGGTGACGTGTACAAACCTGTATTACATCCACCTATGTCATCAAGCTAAGATCCTCCTCCAGTGCACCTGTCTCTTTGGGAATATAAAGGCTGCTTGGCTTCAAAGCACCTTCACAGGCTACACAAAGACAGGAAGCATTGGGAGGCTTACATCTATATTGACGTCTCAGCACTTGGTAAATGATCTTCCACCCTTTTTAAAACTTCTAAAGTACTGCTTTTATGTGTGTATGAAATTCATTACTAACCAATTTCTCCTTTTCCTAGGTAAAAAAAAAGTTCACCTAACAGGCATCATGTCGATGGGAATGGAGATCGGGGGCATTGCCCTGGGCATTATCGGCTGGATCATTAGCATTGTCGCTTGCGCTCTCCCTATGTGGCGTGTCTCTGCCTTCGTTGGCGCAAACATCGTCACCGCACAAAACATCTGGGAAGGTTTGTGGATGAATTGTGTTGTACAGAGCACCGGACAGATGCAGTGCAAGATCTACGACTCCATGCTAGCACTGTCGCAGGACATGCAGGCGTCCAGAGCCATGTCGATCATCGCCATCATCTTGGCCATTCTGGGCGTGATGATCTCCATCATGGGCGCCAAATGCACCAATTGTATCGAGGATGAAGCAGTCAAGGCTAAAGTCATGATCGTCTCCGGCATCCTGTTCATTCTTGCCGGCATCCTGGAGCTCATTCCAGCGGCTTGGGTTGCAAACCAAATCATTCGTGATTTCTACAACCCGTTACTGCCCTCCGCTCAGCAAAGAGAGATCGGGGCATCCATCTACATAGGGTTTGCTGCTGCTGTTCTGTTACTGATTGGAGGAGCATTGCTGTGCTGCACCTGTCCTCCACGGGAGAAGAACTACAAGCCACCGAGAATGGGCTACTCCGCTCCACGCTCTACTAATGGTGGATATGACAGGAAGGACTATGTTTAAAACATTGGTTTCTTGTAGCGAAAAAAAAAACAAAGAGGAAAGATTTGAAGATCTCACACAAAGGGTGAAGATACTTCTCAAAGGACTCCGCAATGAAGGGTCATACGATGCTGTCAATATTTGCTTTTCGTCTGACTGGTGTGTGTGTGTGTGTGTGTGTTAAGGGCTGGTTTTGTAGCTTTACTTTTTAGGGATTTTTGTGTTTATACATTTCCTGTTTGATATTATTTTATTTGCTGTTGTTTAAATGTGCCCATTTTTTGTTCAACTGTTGTCCTTTTTTGTTTCATGTCATACCTAAATGCATAACTGGTGTCAAAATGTATTCTTTGCTTTGTGTAAGGAAACTTCAATAAGTAGAGCTGTGCAAATTTTTTATTAAAGTGGTCGGCTCTTTCATCTGATGGCTTGTCTATCGCAAATCTATGTAGACAGGAAGAGGAAGACTTTAGCTCTTTACATGTATTTGCTTAGGAAAATTCCACTGGGCACAGAAACGGAATATATATATATATTTTTTTTTTCTTTTAGGCTTCAGTTGTGTCTATTCTTGAGGACATCAAGTTTTTCTTTTGTACAATTGTTTTATTATGTACAATTGTTTTATTATATTTTCTACAGAGATTAAAGATTGAATGCATTTCATAACCATTTTATTACTGTGACTAATATTTGTCAGTTGTATTGCTTTTATACTATCAACATTGATTGTGGAAATATGAAATAGTACAACAGCTGGTAAATAAAACAAATGTTACAGCATACAAAAGACTGTTGGAGTGGTTGTACCTGTTTGGCCTTTTGTTCTACAATTGGGGCAGTAATGTGAAGACACGTTCTGAGAGAGACCACTCAGCATACAAACCTTATGCAAGCTGTACTGTTTGCCATTGGTGGTGGCTGACAGATCCGACAAAAAACAGTCTGAATAAATGGCAAGGGAAAGTAGGATGGGGATTGAAAAGTACATTTATAAGGCACAAAATGTTTTGTTTACTATATGTACAGTACATCTGTTTTTTTTATTCCATTGTAATTTCAACATAACTGCAATAAAAACAGAATTCCCAGCAATTTAGGTTCTGGGAACGTTCTGGGAACGTCAGTTTTTGGTTCCCAGAACGTTCCTAGAACTTTCCCTTAAGGTTAGGGGAACGTTCCCGGAACGTTCTCCTTACGTTATAAAAATGGAACCTAAAAATAACCTACATGGAACGTTCCTATAACGTTCTTGTTTGGTTCCCAAAAAAAATAACCTCATGGGACCATTCGGGAACGTTAGGGGAACGTTCTGTGTTTGCTGGGTTAATGCTCTAAGTGTTGATTAGATCCATCTAGCTGATACATATTGGGCAGCAAACAAAACATCAAGGAAGTTTGAGCTTTTAGATTTGGAGCTTTGGATTAAAAATTAAATTCCACACACCGCATTAAGCACAAGTTGCATTATTCTTGGTAAAAGGGAGACTTAGATTGAAACATAGATTGAAACAGAGACTCTTGGTTATGAATTATATTGCAAAGTCAGGCAACATGCCATGAAACCATGGTAAGTTGCAAACACATAACCCTAAGGGATATTAACACAAGCCAACATTCTATAATGCTGTTCCCATAGAGACAATGCTTCTCAGGGATACGCCTTCTTCTCCACCTGTTAGAGGGGGGAGGGGAACTCCGCGTAGGAAAATGACTCACCTGGTGTGTTTGCTGTAAAGTTTCCTTGCAATTCAATCCTGAATTGAATTCTCATCTAGTGTAAATATACAGAACATATATATGATTATTCATTTTTACGTGCAGCAAACAGTATTGTGCGTTTTTTTATTTAAGAAAGCCATTGTTAACAACAGTAAGTAGCCTATTAAATAAATGCTGTTTTTTGGTGTAGAGAATGAGGAAGAGTTTAAAAGTTAGGTAAAAGTGTTTTTTACTGAACAAATTATTTAGAGAGATCATTTTAACGATCAATTTCAGGACAAAGAAAACAAGACAAACAAAGAGATTAACTAGAACAAAGAGTTAGCCTATATGGTGTATGCTCTGCTATTATAGGCCTATTAGTTAAATTAAAGGGATAGTTCACCCAAAAATGAAAATTAGCCATTGATGTACTCACACTGAAGCCATCCTAGGTGTATATGACATTCTTCTTTCAGACAAATACAATCGGAGTTATATTAAAAAATGTCCTTGATCTTCCAAGCCTTATAATGGGAGTCAATGGGTATATTTTTTTGGAAGTTCATTAAACCCTATCCATCCATGATAAAAGTGTTTGAAACGGCTCTGGGCGAGTTAATAAAGAGTTAGTGTAAGAAAAAGATCCATATTTAAAACTTTATCGACTAAAATAACTAGCTTCCGGCAAACGGCCTCCTATGTGATACATCGTCAAGTGTTACTCTTTTGACGTTAGTCGACTTGCGTATACGCCCGTCTGCCGGAAGCTAGTTATTTTAGTCGATAAAGTTTTAAATATGGATCTTTTTCTTACCCATTATAAGACTTGAAAGAGCCAGGACATTCGTCTGAAAGAAGAATGTCATGGCTTCAGGGTGCGCAAATCAAGGGCTAATTTTCATTTTTGGGTGAACTATTCCTTTAAGAGATCAAATTTCTAACAACTCCCCTGAGAACATTTTTTGTCACAGTTGTCAAGTTCACCTTGAACTTTTCAATACCTTCTGGTGGCACAGAATTGTCTACATTAAAATAACCTTTGTTTAAGTACTTATTGTTTTAATTATTCACTGCTTTAAATAAGTATTCACAGTTAAGTTTCAACGTCATGTTCTCTTTTGTTTGTTACTATGGTTTCTAGTTCCTAGTTTAGTTAACAATCATCTCTGTGTACATAAGTTTTCACTGTTTTGTGTTCGTGTTTCAGTATTCTCTTCTTCGGCGATCAGCCGTATAATGGGCTGTTTAATGGTGCTCAAGCGCCACCTATGGTTAAACTTGGAGATCAAGGAGACTGACAAGACCCCCTCATCTTTGGGCACAAAGAGGAGGGGGTCAAGTCCCGCCAAGGCCTGACCACTCTCAAACGACCATGTGTTCACCTCCCAACCCCCTATCCAGTCCAGGTGTTGGAGGTGCTGTGTTTGTTATCCGTACTGGGTCCGCCTCCCCACCAGTGGTATGCGCGCCCAGACATCCTTCTGCTTTTAAAGCGAGTCAAATAAAAAACTTCCATCTCCCAGAGGCCCATCCTCGACTTGAGATTTCTCAACCGCACTCTGTTGAGACGGCCATTCAGAAGTATAACTTTGAAACAAATCCTCTCGTTGATCTGCCCAGCTGATTGTTTTTTTATCAGGGGATCTGAAGGACGCATACTTTCATATCCAGATAGCTCTCCATTACAGATCGCTCTTGAGATTCGTGTTCGAGGGGGTGGCTTACCAATATACAGTCCTACCATTCAGACTGTCTCTAGCTCCACGCACAAAATGTGTGGATGCTGCTCTCTCCCCACTGAGACTAACTGGAGTTTGCATCCTGAATTACCTCGACGATTGTCTGCTCTTATCCCAATCGAAAGAGGAACAGGAATCGTGTGCGCACAGGTCTATGCTCCGCAGTCATCTAGAAAGTCTGGGGATCAGAATCAACTTGAGCAAAAGCCTGCTGTCCCCCAGCCAACGTATTGTGTTCCTGGGGACAGTGCTCAACTCGTCTGACATGCGGGCCTGTACCTTAGCCGGATCGCTCCCTGAAAATTCAGCAGTTAGTGATGACATTCATAATGGGAGCAACCTCCTTTTAAAGACATTTCAGAAGCTACTGGGCCACATGGCAGCAGCCTGCTCCTCCTGTGGGCACAGGACAATCTCCGCTCAGTACGAGCTTTATATGTGCCGGGCTCCATGAACATGGGAGCAGATATTCTGTCCCAGAACGGACCGCCACAGGGGAATGGAGACTCCACTTCTTGACGGTCCACATGATTTGTAGCATTTTCGGCCAGGCGGAAGTGGATCTCTTCGCGTCGGAAGAGAACACCCGCTGCCCGATTTTCTTTTCAGAGGAAAGGTATTGGCCCACAGGTGGCCCCCTCTGTGCCTTTATGCTTTCCCTCCGGTAGCACTACTCGCTCAGGTCATCAGCTGAATCAAGGAGGACAGATGCTCCAACTCGTGGCACCACTCAGGCAGAACCAGCCGTGGTTCCCAAAAATGGTCCAGCTGCTGTCTGCAGCACCTTGGCCAATCCCTCTGAGAAGAGACCTCCTTTCCCAAGCGAAAGGGTCAATCTGGCATCCCCAACATCCCCGAAAAAAAACAGCCCACTTCTGCATATAAAGGCGCCTGGTAGAAGGTGACCTAGTCTCAGAGATCGAGGCTTTCTTCAGGAGCTGTTGGAGGGCGGACACACTCCGTCCACGCTCAAAGTATAAACGCCAGCTTTTGCAGCGTACCGCGCCCATATAGGTGGCCAATCGATTGGGAAACATGACCTGATTGTCAGATTTCTCAGAGGGGCCAGGAGGCCGGGTTGCCTTGTCCCAACACGGTCCCTTCCTAGGCCCTGTCCATTGTGCACTGTGAAGTGACGCAATATGAAGTGAACCGTATTGAAAGGGAATGCTCTGGTTACTAATGTAACCTCGCTTCCCTGAGATACAGGAACGAGCATTGCGTATTCTACCGTGCTACTTTGCATATGCGTGAGTCGACACTACTACTGTTAAGTCAAGAAAATCTGACTAAATTACCGTTTTGTGCTACTTAAAAAGGCAGTTGGCGGACTGAAAGGCCATTTGTCTGTGCAAGTGCACAGACGTGAACCAATCAGGCATTCAGTATTCAGAGTTTCCACATACTCGTCAGCGACTGACGTGATGCTCGTTCCTGTATCTCAGGAAACCGAGGTTACATTAGTATCCGGAGCGTTATCTCATCCTGCTTTGTTGATTTTCTGAGGAATGTGAACTGAAGATTCCCTCCCCTCTTGGGAGAAGGTCACAGAGAAGTGGCTGTGTAGCAATATTCTTTCATTCTTTTCAGTCAACAGACTCTTGTAGGAATGATACGTAACTCTTGACATAAAAGGATCTATACTGCCAAATAAAAAAAAGTAACCAACTGATAATCAGAGGGCAAATTTCACTTCTGACATTTTCTTCACCTTCCCCTCCCCCTTTTTTTAAAGTGCCGTCATTTATAACTGACTTTGTCCTATTAGGGTAAATCATTTTTGGCAAATTGTCTAAAACTTCACACACATTTAAATGCATTTTCACTATCTGAACAGTAGTGAAA